AAATCCAGTTGCTAGGGCTCCACCACAGGACCCTTAAGGCTAATAAATGAAAGAGGTGGATCAGGCATTCACCCCCACTCTTTCTGTGTCTATGATGGCACTTCTTATCTCAGGGTAAACAAATAATTGATGAGGGAAATTTTTTCTTTATGGAAAAATTCTCACTAATAAAGTAGAACTCTGCCTAGAAGAAAGACTTTCCTAAAAAAACAAAATTTGAATCACACCAAACCTATAGATCACTACTTCATCATATTTACCTTCTGTGTACGTTTGAAATTTTTCATTTACAAAAAAATATTTTTAAAAGAAAAGTATGCATAATGTTCTTGAACCCTTTGCTTCAAACCTTGCTTTAAATTCTTCAAAGACACATCATTAGTTCCTTTTCCAGTCCAAGTACATTCACCATCCTGAGCACAGCTAAGTCTTTCTTTGATGACTGAGGTCATCATTTCAGGCTTATTATAATAAGTTTCAAATAGGAGTTTCCATAGTTACTGATTTAAACCATGTAAAGGAGATTGAACTGTCTCCACACTAATCCCAGAATACTCACTCATTGATCATAGATAGTATTCAGGATCTTTCATGTTCTAGGTATTGCCACCCCTCTATTTTCCTGATATTTTACCATTTTCCAGTAGCATTTTATAAACTATTCAAATCACAATGAATGAGGTGAGCACTGGGGCATCCAGATTACCTGGGTTGTGATCAGAGAAGGTTTAACTTTCCAACAAAAGAAGCTTACAGCATTCTGTGAGAGGCACTGTTTATGCAGTCTTCCATTCCAGTTGCCAGACCCTTGGCTGAAATAGGATCCCCTGTCTGTCTGCCATAAAACCAGTGAGCTTAACTTGAGCAAGTGCAATGAAACCACAGAACCTGTGCACACAGAGGCATAAAGTCAAGACAGTAGAGTTCTCAGAAAAACATCTTGCTCTTTCTTATACAGAGGATGGGGGATGGCACTTCTGACTCTATCTGATTTGCTTTTCCTCCATCTTCACCATCCAATTCTTACTCCATCCACAGTGGAGTAGCTGCACTTCTCACCAGTGCCCTTTGTGAAATCTCACATGTGCTTTGGCATGTGCTTTCTGAGCCTTCATTATCCATCATGCTGCTGGAGTGCTCTGCTTCCAGGTGTTCCCTGCATCATGCTACCTTCTATGTACACTCCTGGACACAGTGACTGTCTCTCGGTTCACAATATTGTGTGACTTACTGCCTGACTGTTTTCTGAACTCTTGTCTTTGGCAAAGGAAAGAGAAGAGTGTTTTTGTTTGTTTGCTTGCTTGCTTGCTAGTTTTATAGGGTATTGATTTAACACTGGAGCAGCCACCTTAAAAGTTAACCATCTTATGAGATAAGTTTCGCTTTCCTGTACTTCCTCTTACCCAAACTCCCCCTACCCCCATTAGTGACCTACCCTGTGGTACCATAACCCTAAGCCAATCCCAGAAGGACAGGATCCCTTTGCTCTGGAAAGCCCCATGGTGCCATGGATCTAAGCCAATCCCATGCTTTTCCCTAATGGCCTAGCTCTGCCACAAGCACCCCTGAGCCTATCCCATAGCGCCACAGCTACAACTCCAAACCCCCACAGAAGCTGAACACCCGAACATCTTGGGGCCTCTCTCCTGTCTCTAGAGAGATGGGCTTTATTTGTCAGCTTTGTGTGGCTCTCTACCTGGTCTCCGTCCTTCTCTTCTCGCTTGCCCATCTCTTGCTTTCTCACTTTCCTTTCAAGTTTGCTCATTGTTTTGATATCTGTGGGAAGGACAACCTCCTGATTGGAGTCCTGTTGAAAAGTGACCTTTTTCTGCTTTAGTTTCTGACCCAATGCCCTTGGTCTTCAATACACCCAATCTCCCCTCTGGGTTCCTGAGGGGAGGAGCACATTCCTCATGGAGCCCTGCCCAATGCCAAGGAAGCTCCAGGGTCAACCTTCCTGAGGTTAGTTTTGCTTTTTCAAATTCCAAAGAGAAATTACCAAAACTTTGCTTGTGGATAGAAGTAGAGATCAGTGTTCTAGGAAAGCAAAGGAAAGTCTACAAAATTCAGAACTGAGTTTAATAGGATAGAATCCCTGTCACTGTGATTCTTGCCCTTTTCTGATTAGGGTGAAAGGAAGATCCCTCACCTTTCTTTCTTTCTTAAATACTCCCTTCCTTCTCCATCCAGCCTGCCCATCCCCACAAAAACCTTGAAGATTAAGACCACCAAACACCTGCCACTCCAGAAGCACAACGGGAGAAGCATCAAGTTAAAGGTCTATGGAGATATGTCTTCCCCCAGAAAGGAGAAGTTAAATTCAGAGGGAAGCAACGTAAGTGCTAATGGGATCTATAGAGAAATGAGGCCAAAAGCAAGAGTCCAGGAGATCACCAAAGACATGATAAGAAGGAAAACAATTATACTGTAGATGGAGGAGGACCACAGTCTATAATAAAACGAAAGATCTAGGGAATAAGGAAATGTCTCCAAAACTAGGGGCTACCAACCGCCAGCTGACTATATTCAGAGAAAGAAGTGGGAAGCTGGACAAGGAAATGGAAAGTAGCCCTGACACAGACCCAGGGAAAGTCACTTCTGCCTAATGATCCATGGCTCAGGCCAGAGGAAGAAAGAACATCTCAAATAAATTGGATGGACCATTCTCTTCCAGATGACAAAATGGGAGACTAAAGATAGAACAGCTCAACTTGGTATTTAAGGGTAGAGGCAGGATGAACTAACCAGCATTCATAATTGAAGGGGACAGAACCTAGAGAAGAAGAGGCAGCTCAAAGAAGAGATAAATCCATGCCATTACTGGTGCAGCAGGGATGGGATTTAATGTTCCCAACTTGAGTGGGGTGAACTGAATTAAGGCAGTTGTATCTGCAGGAGGCCTCTGGGTCTTCTCTCTCCCAGAGTCTTCAGTTCTGCACCCAAATGTGCAGGGTCTGCTGAGCTGTGGTGGCAGCTGGGGGTAGAGAAGGACTTCTGGGGTGGAGGGAAACAAAGGAGGAAAATGGTGGCTCCAGAAGATCAATTTTATAGGGGAAAAAATCTATTTTCTACTTCCTTAAAGAGAAGGACACTAAAGTGATTCAATGATGTAATCTGTTTAAACCAGATCTATGACCAATATTCCTTTAACAAATAGTCATTGATCACCTACCACATTCAAAGCACCTGCAATCGAAGTAGGAATCAAAGAAAATAATTGAGAAGGTGACATTGAATGGAATTGCCCAAAAGAGGAATTCATATCCAAGTTGGAAATTTAGAAACCTGGATTACACACAATATTGGAATGCTGACTCTCATCTGATCTAAATGCAGAATCTGTGCATCCACGCACCTACCAAAGTATCCAACCAACGAGTGTGCCAAACACTCTGTGCCAAGATTCGTACCAGATGGTGGGAATAAAGAGATGCCAGACATGATACTTGACCACGAGTAGCTCTGCTAGTCAGAAAGAAGGGGAAAGAATTATAGCACAAACTATACAGATGCCCAAGGAACCATGAGGCCCAGGGATAGTGATCCCTTACTCCAGATGGAAAAAGCGTACAAAGGCATTCCAGACACAGGGAACAGCATTGCCAGAATAAGGGTAAGCATATTCATGGAGAGAAAGTCATTCCTTGCGGTTGGAATCCATGTTACACAGAGCAATGTAGAGATTACACAAGAGCGGGGTTTCTCAACCTCAGCACTACTGACATTTT